GTTCCACTATATTCTCCTAGAGATTAAGCTTGAGCAGGGACTAGTAAAAGTCTTAGACTCGAGATGAAAAGATCCCTCTGAATATGCGGACATATCTAAAATGCTCGAGAAGTAAGTTGAATCGATCATTATCGCGTCATATTGGCAACTTTGTTCATTTCATGATATCAAGTAATTGTTTTATTTGTCTTCCAGGGTTTGGAAAGTATTCACCGCACAATTTTCGGGACTGTCGCGGGAACTGCGATGGATTTACCCGAAAGTAAGTACTACTAGCTAGCTAGTTCCGGGCATCTCCCGTTGATTCTAGATACTTTCATCAATGCCCATTTATAATGCTTCATTATCAGTTTGATTGACCTCTATTTCTCGTAAAGTGCTTGTGGCAGGAAGCCGGGAATAATTCCTGTGGATACTACATCTGCGAGTTCATCTACAATGCGACGGCCAAGAATAGGCGGGGCTACTCTAAAAGACAATATGAAGTGCGTAAGCAAAAATATTCACAAGCTTATTTTATTACCATCATTTCTATTGAGTTCCATTCATATATATGTATTGACCCTCTTCTTTAAATTAGATGTGGGAGATGCGGAATGAACTCCTACCACAAGATCGCATGCGAGCAATTCAAGAAGAATTGGCTGGATTCTTTCTTGTCCACGTCATCAATAAAGCCGGAGAATACCACCATGCATGTGAAAGTTGAGTTCATATGTTAGGGTATTGCAAGAGATCTTACACATTGTATATATATATATATATGTAGCCAGTAGCATCGGATAGATATACGATAACTTGTTGTTCGACCAATCTCTCGGAGAAGGAGAGGTCGATCACTTCTGTATATTTTCATGACGATCTTCTGTACTTAATAGTTTCCTTCATTTGCTTATAGCTAGCTAGCGCGTCGAGTCCTTTCTATACGTAGCGTCGACCAAGCATGGAGATAAGAGAGGACACTTTTCTCTATTAGCTAGCTAACACAATATATGAAACCCCTAAATTAACCCCACAACCCCCCAACCCCCACCTCCTCCCATCTTTCAGAAAAAAAACCCAGCAAGACTTTTGGTCCCCGGTTGGTGGCACCAACCGAGACAAAAGCCCCCCTGCCTGGGCAAGCGGCAGCGGCCACGTGGAGCCCCCATCTGTCACGGTTCCTAGGCGAACCGGGACTAAAGGGACAGGACTTTAGTAACGACCCTTTAGTCCTGGTTCCAGAACCGGCACTAAAGGCCCTTACGAACCGGTACGAATGGGCCTTTTTCTACTAGTGTAGATAAGGACTTTGGAGTGATTCTTTATCGCACGTTGAGGGATGGTTATATGATCCAATTATATTAGCATTGTTGAGAGATTGGACTAGTGAAAGTATGAACCCTAGGCCTCATTGTCAAGCATTGTGATACTGTTCATGCTCACTTTTTTACTTGCTACATTGCTGTTTTTTATTGTTCCTATTATAAAAATCAATATCTACTATCAATACTACCTTGTATCACCATTTCTTCGCCAAACTAGTGCACCTATACAATTTACTATTGTATTTGGTGTGTTGGGGACACGAGAGACTCTTTGTTATTTGGTTGCAAGATTGTTTGAGAGAGACCATCTTCATCCTACGCCTCCCACGGATTGACAAACCTTAGATCATTCACTTCAGGGAAAATTGCTACTGTCCTACAAAACTCTGTGCTTGGAGGCCCAACACGAGTCTACAAGAACAAATTGTGTAGTAGACGTCATTTGACTTTTGAAATTTCCTACACGCACTACATTTAGGAATAGAGGGAGTAGCTGAAAGTGTTCCTCAGCTCATTTCATTGTACTTCGATGTCCTTTTACAAAAAATGGAAACTCAAACTCTTAGTGTCAAAATAGTATTAACCATAAGTTGAATTTTACTTTTCTGCATTACTTTTTCAATTTTTCCAGATTTTTCTGAGATCCATAGATATTTTATTTTTATGAAATATAAAAACAGGTGGAAACATGAACTCACATTGGGCATAGTAGGTTAGTTCAAAATAAACTTCAAAACATTGCACAAAAACATACAATAGTTATAGTATGTTGGAGATGTATCAGGATCCAACAAAAGGGTATTGTTGGGATCTCTTAATGAAAGTCCCTATGTTTGACTTGGGGAGTGGGCCCCGCCTGATACGACTGTCGGAGATAAAAACTAGTAAATCTCAGGTAGGGGGTCCCGATCTGGTAGCCTTGGCACGATGGTAACAGGAGGCACAATGTTTACCTAGGTTCGGGCCCTGTTGAGGAGGTAATACCCTATGCCCTACTTTGATTGTATTGATATGATGGGGTAAAAAGTATATGTGATCTACCACGAGATCGTATGTAAATGTATTCGTACCTCTACAACCCTAGCACCTCGATTTATATAGATACCAGGGGTCCTACGAGTTACACATAAGTCAGTAGTATTTAGGGGCAACCATGTCGGGGACTATCTCTAAGTCTTGGAGTATACACCAAGTCTTGGGATCATTCTCTTTGGTGTTCTTGGACCAGACGAACGAGGCCCACCAGTTGATGGGCTTAGGGGGGGGTGTCCTTGGCCCAACCCAAGGGACTGGTAACCGACATGCCGAGCACTTCCTAATCCAAGACTCCATCAATGACCGGGTGCAGTAGTAACAATACTCCTCGGCGGTGCCCGGTTCCTCTGTTGACGATGTTCCACTCATGGAAAATTTTAATTCTTGGTTTGGATCTTGAACTCACTCTTACCCCCTCCCCCTTTATCCATAAAATATGCAACAACCTACCAAAACAAGGGGATTTGCACATCTTTGCTATTGCTAGTCATTAGTAAGAAAAACTGAAGTGATATACTGGGAAACTTCTTATGAATATAAAGATTAAATTTAGGAACTGATGAGTGTAAAATAAACTTGTCATGAAGTAGTGTACAAGCCAAGTCCCATACTCATTTGATGCTTTCCTGACATAAGAGTAAGTCCCACTCTGATGCAACCGAGCTTATTGTAAAATCATCCACATTTTGATATTCACTATTGAATAATCCTTATTTCATAGGGTTACAAGTAAGGGTGTACATCGTATACGAGTTTCATACGTGTATATTGAGCTTGTCACTAGTAATTGTACGAACTATCTTAGGCCGCCGCAACCTTGACAATTCAGACTTAAGAGATTCATTGTTGTCGATGGTGCCCCTTGGGAGCCCACCGATCCCGTTGTTGCTGATATGGAAGTCACATAGACTTTAATCTATCTCTTAGTCTTGCATATGTCCTTTCATTTATTCTTCTCGTCCACCGCTATCGCCATAGTTGCATTAACATCAATGAAAAACTTGCCCGCAACATTCCACGTTCTCCCTTCATCTCCCTCATCCACGTTCTCAGACTCCTCCTTCTCCAACACCAACCTCTTCTTTGAAGACTTCTCACTGTCAGCATCTGACTCTCAAGATTTAATCAGGATAGAAGTTGTGTCATCAAATTTCTTTTCCACTCTCATCAGTTTCCTCTATGGGTCCAACCCCCAATCATGATATGATACTCTACCCCTTACATGACGTTTGTCTATCCTATCCCCTATGCCGCCTCCCGACACCTTGCCACGTCCTCTTCCCTTATACACCACATGGTCGTGCCAAGTATCCCTATTGGCACGTGGCAGATTATAACACTTGGGCACTGCCTTGTTTGCTCACTGGTATCACACTTGTAGTGGGTGTGGCCCATACGGCTGCAGGCACCGCAAAATTTGGTCAACTTCTCATACATCGCAAGGTAGAACTCTGTTTTGTGTCCCTAATAATTGTTACATACTTCTTTAGGGGTTCATTGACATCCAGCCACACTCTAGCTCTCATGAAATGCCACACACCTTCGAGTCCAGACTCAACCTTCACCATTTTGCCACCTACGAGATTTGTCACCACCGACTCAAACATGTAGCGGCACGACAGACTGTGTATTCGTGCCCGTACAACCAAGCCATTAAGTTTGATTGATTCGAGTGGCGATAGACCGTCTTAAGGCTAAATCATGACTCTAGGTTGCTTGACAACCAAAGGCCTTCCTCCTCACTCTTTACTCAACCACCTTGTTAGAAGCACTGGACGATGAACGGACACTCCTACACAACCATGATCTTGATCTCCTTTGTCGTGGGACTCCACACAATGCACATGCTTGCAATGAAGCCCCACACGTGGTCCCCCCGGCGTGCTTAAGCAACATATCATCGAACTATTTTCCGCCGAGAGGAAAAAAAACCCTAGACACCCCAACAAGGGAAAGGAAAAGAAAAAAACTCTCCCAAGGCGGTGCGTATTTTGACAGCGAACAGGGCAGCCGCTGGCGCCGTACACGTGAGAATCAAGCTAGCCGGGCATCGTGTTCCGATTCTTTCGCCCTAGGCTGACTTTCCCCCTTTCCTTCCTCCACCACGCGCGTGCCCGCCGCAGCGCAGCCCGTCCCGAACCGCCCCGTCCGGACAGCGAACGGAACGGACGGCCCCAAACGCGTGTGGCCGACGCGAAACACCGACGCCGCCGTGTCCGCGGAGTAAATTCTACGCATCCCGGCCAGGCCGGACCCCGTCAGCCTGCGACTCCCTCCCGAATCCGCCTTCCCCAGTCAGCCCCGCCCGGCCGAGCCCGAAGCCACCCCTCCTCCTTCCTCCCTCGGTCCATCCCCCGTCCGTCCACCTATAAACGGCGCCTCCCTCCTCCCCCCCACACATCCCGCACCCACCATTGAGAGAAGCAGCAGCACGAGCAGCACATGTCACAAAGGGCCAGCGTCCCACACTCCTCCTGCATAGCCTTCGCCCTCCATTCCCACCTCCTCGTGTCCTCTGAGATGTGCCCCAGCTCCTACTGGGAATAGAATAGCCTCGCCCAAATCCGACACCTTTTTTTTGTTTTTGTTTCCTCTCTTCTTTAGATTTTGTTTCTAGATCTTTGGGGGTCTCGAATTCGTCCGTCTGCGAGGGGGAAGATGGGCGTCAAGGGATTCGTCGAGGGCGGCATCGCCTCCATCGTCGCCGGCTGCTCCACCCACCCGCTCGACCTCATCAAGGTCCGGATGCAGCTGCAGGGGGAGTCGTCCGCGGCGGCGGCGGCCGTCCCGCAGCCCGCGCTCCGCCCGGCGCTCGCCTTCCAGGCCGGGGCGCACACCGTGACGCTCCCGCACGCGCCGACGCCGGTGCCGAAGCCCGGCCCCATAGGCATCTGCACGCAGATCCTGCGCGCCGAGGGCGCCGCCGGCCTCTTCTCCGGGATCTCGGCCACCATGCTGCGCCAGACGCTCTACTCCACCACGCGGATGGGGCTCTACGACATCCTCAAGAAACGCTGGACCCAGGAGAACGCCGGCGTGCTGCCGCTGCACCGCAAGATCGCCGCCGGCCTCATCGCCGGCGGCGTCGGCGCGGCCGTCGGCAACCCGGCCGACCTGGCCATGGTGCGGATGCAGGCCGACGGCCGCCTCCCGCTGGCCGACCGCCGGAACTACCGCAGCGTGGGCGACGCCATCGCCCGGATGACGCGGGACGAGGGCGTGCGCAGCCTCTGGCGCGGCTCGGCGCTCACGGTCAACCGCGCCATGATTGTCACCGCGTCGCAGCTGGCGACCTACGACCAGGCCAAGGAGGCCATCCTGGCCCGCCGCGGCCCGGCCGCCGACGGGCTGGGCACGCACGTGGCCGCCAGCTTCGCCGCGGGCATCGTGGCCGCGGCCGCGTCCAACCCCGTCGACGTGGTCAAAACCAGAGTGATGAACATGAAGGTGGCGCCGGGCGCGCCCCCGCCGTACGCCGGGGCCCTGGACTGCGCGCTCAAGACGGTGCGGTCGGAGGGCGTGATGGCGCTCTACAAGGGGTTCATCCCCACGGTGTCGCGCCAGGGGCCCTTCACCGTCGTGCTCTTCGTCACCCTCGAGCAGGTGCGCAAGGTCTTCAAGGACGTCGAGTTCTAATGCAGTGCAGACCACCGCACGGCGCGGCACCATGGATCCATGATGATGACGACAAGAAGCTGCTCATTGATGCCGCTGCTGCTAAGAATAACTAGTAGTACTGCTGGAGAGATTTCTCCAGTTCCTGCCTCCCATTGTATTTGAATGAATTTGCTCGATTTTGAATGGAATTCTCATTTTTAAATCTTGGGCTATGAATGTCAACTTTGAGAATCTTCTGCTAGGAATTGTCAGCATTGACTATATACCAATTACTGAATAGACTATTACTGGCATGCTTTCAGTTAACTACTGATTTAAGAATTCTGAAACGGTAGTATAGTAAGCAACAAGGATGTGCTGGCAGTGCAAGCTGGAGGATTGTTTAGCACTAAGATGTGCTGCAGACTTTGCCCCTCGACTTATTACAAAATACTCCACTGCTGGAGTACGCACAATGGAAGATCTGTTTCTCTCTCGATCAGCTTTAACAGGGATATTCTTGATAGTGCCTCCACGGCTCCTTTATCCAAAAAAGAAGTCCTCCACGGCTCAGCGGAATATACCGTCACGACAAGCATACGCCTCAGCAGTAACAATGCCGGCAGGAACATATTCATGCCAAGTAGACACGACAGGCACGAGAACGCTATTATCATCCGCCCGAATGGCACCCGCCTCGGTTCCAACCTCAGAGCATCTCCACTCGTTCGGTTCCTCAGCGCATAGGCCGGCGCTCTTTCGCACGCTCGCCCGACGATTTTTAGCGTGATCTAGGTCCCAGCCACGCCCCCAGGTGTCGTCCTCAAGGCGTTCATAAATTCAAACTGTTCGGCGATCATCTTGCCACAGTTCGGCGGTCAAATGAAAAGTTCGGCGTAAAAAAAGAAAGGACGCATAGGCAATGCATCAAACGGCGGTGTCGGCCTCCGGCGTAGGAGGAGACGGCATGCGCGGGCTGGGCGGCGTCGGCGCGGCTTTTGTGCTGCTGGGCGTCGTGGAGGCATCATCACTCGGGTTTGGTGGCGCCGCCGACGGCATCTGGTTCAGGATGAGGCCGCGCTCCACCAGGTACCACGCCTTGAGCTGCCTGTCGTCGCTCCGGAGCATGCCCGCCCGCCCATCAGGAAAGCCAGGTCGGTGTTCCTTTTCTTCGCGCCGACGTTGGTCCGGAGCAAGTCGAGCTTGACGGCGCTGTTCGTCATCAACGCCGACCACCGCGCCTCGGTTTTCTCTTCCCGCAGGGCGGCCCGGGTCTGGGCGTTGGCGAGGCAATGCTCGATGGACTCTTGCACACGTGCGGTAGCCGACTCGGCGTGTTTCGCCTTCTTGGCCCCTTTGTTGCCGTCCAGGCCCCCGTCGGCCACGCCCGGCGTCGACATGTCCGGCTTGTACGTCTCCTTGGCCTTGGCGAGGGTGCACCGGACATCCTTCCACTTCTCGCACTTATCAATCCGCTTGAAGACGTGCAGATACTTGAACTCTTGGTTGTTGTTGTCCTGGCGAAACATGGCGAACATCCACAGCAGCTGCGCCGAGGAACATCAGTCGGCGGGCGCGCACACGGCGAAAAGGAAAGGGAGAGACCGGCGTGCCATACCTGATCCTCGATGCTGGCGCCGCTCTCCGGGCGAGCCACGATCTCCTCGACGATCCCATGCCATTTGTTACACGCCGTCTAGATGAGACCCAATGGTTCGCCATTGCCTTCGACCCGCTCTGCATGTAGACGCCTTTGAAGCAGGGGTTGACGAGCTTGCGCTCGTCGAATTCGGCCTTGATGCGGTCCCAATACGTGTCAATGCTCTGGTTTGTGCTAGTGATCGGGTCGAGGCAGACGACTTTCCACGCTTCGGCGAGACACTCGTTCTCCTTGGACGCCCACTTGATGTGCGGCTCGCCGGTCCTGGCCGCCCGCTTCTTCTTCTTCTTCCCTTTCCTCGTCGGAGCAGGCGCCGACTCTTCCTCCTCCTCCTCCTCTGGCTCTTCCTCGTCGTAGTCGAGCTCCCCGTCCATGTCGCCGTTGAGGTCCATTGTGTCGTCTTGGGCAGTGAACTCGGGGGAGGCGGCGGCGGCGGCCGAGCCGGTCGTGATGATGTCTTCCATGTCGGGCTCCGTCGCGTCGGTGTCGCCGAGATGCGACGAGGAGGCTTGTGAGAAGAGCAGCGTGCAACGGCGGAGAGGTGGCGTCGGGGAGGCTGCGTAGGCCGGCGGCGAGTAGGTGTACGGAGGGCACTGCACACCGGTGAAGGCGGGTGAGGGCGTGCGCTGGGCTGGGTGACCATGGGGGAAGGTGTGTTGGGGTTGAATCCGCCGTGCGCGTCGCCGTCGGCGTAGCCCAGCGACGGCGTGCAGCCCCAGGGTTGTGGCGACGACGAGAAGCCGGCCGGAGATCCGACGCTTTCTGGCTCCAGGACGCGTACGGGCCGTGGCCGTCGGGTGGATTCATCATCCCCGCGCAAGCTGCCTCGGATTGTTCGGTCGAGCGCTGCGCCTGCTCCGCCACCGCCGCAGCCGCGAGCACCGCCCTGTCCGGGCCTTCTTGGCGTTTGTCCTGTTCCGCCGGTCGGTGATGACAGCCTCCCGGCGCTGAACTTCCGCCTTCCAGTCGGCGTTAGACATGCCCGGGGCCTTGGACGGCGGCGCCCTCTGCTTCCTCTACTTCGGCTGGGTGGCGGCGGTGGCGGTACCCGTCACGGCGCGAGGGGCCACGTACTTCTTCGGCGGCATGGCGGCCGTCTGGGAGGGGAGGAGGCGGAGTTTGGCGGGAGGAATGGAGAATGAAAGGGAAGCCGAGGGAAAAAGCGGAAGGAAACGACGGGAAAAAGTTCTCCTCTCGCTGACAGAGCGGCACCACGCCCCTTTTAGCTTCTGCCGGCGCTCCCAGACGACCCTCGGGCGCTTGGGATCGCCGACTGTTATTTCGGCCCAAACCGGCGCTAAATGAGATTTTGGGGTGCTACTAGCCCAATTTTTGGCCGCCGGCGCTAAGAAAACTCCTACACTTGTAGGGTCTGTTGGGGGTGTGACTGGAGATGCTCTCACGAACGATGCTTCATAACTGGTAGTAGTAGCACATCACAGGATCCCGTATCCGAATTATCAGCGAAAAGAAGCATCAATCAGCAAGGTATCTCCCGGGCTGCAAAGCTACGCATGTTACCGGACCTAATTTCAGGATCCCGAGAGCCCAATAATGATAACCTAATTTCCACATCAGCACACAAGTCGACATGTACCGGCCCAAGAACGACGAATTGTTCTTTGCGAAATCGACAGTGAGTAGTACATGATGTGATGCCGATCGATGCAAATGCTAATGGGAGTGTCAAGTGGAGGCAACCACCAAAAGCCGGCCATAATGGTGGCGGTAAGTGCAGTTAAGGTTGACAATGCCGTGCCGACTTTCTTGCGGGCGTTTCCACGGCGGCGAAACGGTCCGGCGATCGACCACCAGACCCGGACTTTTAAGCAACCATCAGCAATCACCATCAGGGCTTTCCAGTCGGCAAATAAACAACGAGCTCCATCGGCTCCAGCAGAGTCCGTCCGGCACTGCTGGAGCACTTATGATTTTTAAACCTAACTATCAGGATCATCATCCCCTATTCTTTAGGGAAATGGTTGTCACTCGTGGCACACAGTTGCCTTGTGCTTATGTCCGCTTGCCTTTTTTTTTCTTTTGCGAAGAAAAATCGCAAAAGGATAAAACAAACATATCCTGCCAGTGCAGTGCACACGAAGACACGCTAAGAATGCAGCGAATGACGCTGAAGCATGTGCCATGGATTTGGATGCAAGGGAAATCTTTGCCTTTGGTGGTGCTATCCTTATCCTGGACATGTAACAAGAAACGGAGTCTGTCTGTGAACTCGTGCTGGTGGGTTCGTGGAAAGAATGGACGAAAAGCAAAGCGAAGGAGCAGAGGGATGTAGAGCTCACACCGGCGAACACGACTGTTCTTCAACATTTATGCAAGTGTTTTCTGATTGGCAGCACCTTTAGATCAATATACATGGGAGAGAACCATTAACACTGCGGGGAACTAAGGTCATCTCCACGCTGACCTTTAAACTGGACACTGTATTTGCGCAAGCCAGCCATCCAACCATAGCCGCAAACATCCGCCTCTGTTTTTTTTAAAGCCCACAAGCTCTAAATAACTGCATATCAAATCCTAGTCTATCTAAAAATGTTTAAATGTGATAGTACTTCTAATTTAAATATTACAATCCAACAAAGTTTTTAAATTAAAGTAGTTCAAGCTTGAATTCAACTAGCACATATGTACTCGTTGTCCGCTTCAACCGCCTATAGATGCTCAATCAAATCTTTCGTCAGTTGCTTGATTCCGAATTTGTTGATGCATTTAAACAAACTCATCAAACATGACCGATTCTACTCTGGAAGTTCGATAGAATCACCCATGTTCTCAAATTTAAGAGCTGAGGCAGCATACTACCCTCATCCTCCACGATTATCTTGTGCATGATCACACAACAGGCCATCATCTCCCACAAGGTCTCTGGATCCCATTGTTGTCCAGGTCCACGAACAACTGCAAAACGGGCCTGGAGAACTCCAGATGCCCTCTCCACATCTAGCTGCTTCTTGTCTTTGGGCAAAGTGAGACTGTCGGTGTCAAAATCGGCGGATCTCGGGTAGGGGGTCCCGAACTGTGCGTCTAGGCGGATAATAACAGGAGACAAGGGACACGATGTTTTTACCCAGGTTCGGGCCCTCTCGGTGGAGGTAAAACCCTACTCCTGCTTGATTAATATTGATGATATGAGTAGTACAAGAGTTGATCTACCACGAGATCAGAGAGGCTAAACCCTAGAATCTAGCCTATGGTATGATTGTTGTTCGTCCTACGGACTAAAACTCTCCGGTTTATATAGACACCGGAGAGGGCTAGGGTTACACAGAGTCGGTTAGAATGGGAGGAGATCTTCATATCGTATCGCCAAGCTTGCCTTCCACGCCAAGGAAAGTCCCTATCCGGACACGGGACGAAGTTT